ACATGAGGTTGTGCATCAAAAATGGGTATGAAAAGGCTAACTTGGGCACTTGGACCTTCCAGATGTGTTCGTGTACTCCTCGTGTTAGACTTTTGTAAGTGTTGGCGGTATAATGGTAAACGAGTTCCAAGTTCGGCAGCTGGGGGCCGAGCTCTGAGTTGGAGGGGCAGCTGGGGAACTGGGATTTGGGGTTTGTGAAAGCTTGGGTGAGATAGCGGAAGGGATCGGTGGCGGGAATATTGGATGATTCGATTGGCATGGGACTCGGCTGCAAGGGGGTGGGATGGCGGGAGCGAGACTGAGGGACTGGGTTGTGAGGAGCGCCGGCTGAGGGGTGGGGACTGGTTCGTGGCAGGATAGTAGGAAGGGACAATTTCCCTGCAGGCCTTGTGATTGAGTATAAATCAGGTGAGGAGGAGCCAGAGACTTCGACAGAAGGAGTTGGGTATGGAGGGTTGGTGAGCGATTGGATAGCCATGGGGGTCTGACGGTTGGGTGTAGGAGGGGTGATAGTGATCGCGCCACGAGATGCTGGAAATGAAGAATTGCGGCTGTTTTGGTTTGTTGTATGCATCCCGGATTCGACAGCTTGATGGACTCCTGCTGGGGACGTTGAGTATGGGCGGGAGGTTGGAGTAAAAGGGTTGCCAGCGCTGCCGGGTGGTGAAAGAAAGGAGCCGGAACCAGAGGCGGCAGCGGTGCTGGGTACTGGGAGAAGATTTCGACTGGAGCCGAACACGGGCGCAGACCCGGAGCCAGACCCGGAGCCAGAAGTGGGTGCGGCGCCGGACATTGGAGGAAAAGTTCGACCGAAGCCGGGTACGGGGCTAGACCCGGAGATAGACCCAAAGCCAAAGGCGGGAGCGGCGCCGGATGAGCCGACAGGATCACTAGCGCTGCCAGGTGCTGGGGTAAAAGTGGCTAGAGGACGGAACTCGGAGCCAGGAGAGGGGCCGGGGGCGATTGGGGTAGCAAAACTCAAAGAGGTGCCGCCGCTGCCGGTTAGTGGAGTAGTGCCGAGCCGGGACCCGGACCCAGACCCCGGCCCGGACCTTGTTGAGCTTGGCCCGGCTGTGGAGCCGCTAGCTTCCGTTTGTCCCGACGACATTAAACTGCATATGACACCGTGGCGTAGACATGCTTTACACGATGGTTTAGTCTCGTCACACTAGGTAAGCGGAATGTTAGTATTATATAAGAACAAGTTAGGGTAGTAAATAGTACACACTTTGACGCGTCGCTGCTTGCATCGTGTGCAGCCGGTACGAGATTTGGTGTATCCCAGACGCGGTCCTCGATGAGTCGCAACCACACGCCCTGGCATTGGTACATCTACCTGTATGTACACGATCCTATCGAACTGTCCTAAAGCGAGAGGTGAAACACGGTGTAGTTTGTATTCGGATATGGTAGTAGAGTATATGAGTTGGAGTGTCGCGTCAGTGCGAGTGAGTACCGGCCCCACTAGTAACCAAAATCTCCACCGGTAATTCTGGTGAAATATGACAACTCCCGTGCAGTGCGTCGCTGGTAAAAACGTATTGTCGTTACGCCGTTCTGTCGTAACCTTTTGCGGTCTGGATGGTGTGTCCAGGTGCTGTCAGGGTTAGGGGGGTGTCCTGGTAAAAGCGTCTCAGAGCAACCTGAGAAAAAACATGCGAAAGCGAGATGGAGAATGGGATAAAATGGGTGTGGATGGCGTGGGAGCCTGCGAGCGCCAAGTTTCTGGAGAGAAAGGAGGTGACGAGCGGACGAACTGATGTGGGTGGGTGGAGATCCATGGAAGTGTGGGACGTGCACCCCGGAAACCACCACTGAAAAGAACATCGATCCGAATCCGAAAGCCAGGGCCGGGGCCGGGGCTGGGCTAGCAGCTCACTGTGTCTGTAGTAAGGTATAAATAGGTAAGTAGGTAGTAAAGGTAGTAGTAAGTTTCGTACTTGAGCCTCTCACCTCTCCGCGAGGCGAGCACCTGGTTGGGTGCTGGTGGTTGTTGTGAAAGGTAGCGTCTACTCCAAAGGGGAATGAATATTGGATGGGGAGTGCGTATGATCAAGAGATCAGATGGATGCTTGAATAATACTCAAAACCCTCAGAAACATTAAAGTTAATAATGATTGTCGTGATGGACATGGACGGGAATCGACGGGCCAAGAAGCACGAGCTCGACCGGGAAAATGGCTTGTAAGAGAAAGGGGCACCACGGGTCAGATAAATAAATAATAGCGGCAAGAGATGGATGATGACCAAGCAGTCTCGCTGTCTTGATGCTCCTAGATCCGTCGCTGTTCGTGATACATAATGTCTAGGCACCTAGCGATTAGTAACGACAGAGTGCATTCTGTGTCAAGTTCCTACCGAAGAGGGGCACATTATCTTGCTCCTTGAGGTACCCGGATTCGTCCGTGATGCCTCTCTTCCTTTTGTCCAATTTGTCTGAATCCTACCTGCCTACACAATGAATATATTCCAATTGGCAAGGGGCACGCACCTACCCCGACTGAATTGAATATATTTTCAAAAGTGCGGGAAGGTGGCAGCTGAAACCACGCAGTGAGTGCAGTGCAGTGTCGGGAAATAGGTAAGGGACGTACCAGGCGGGAATACTGCTCCCCTCATTGGCGCAGTGGTGCAGCCAGAACTTGAACCTCTCCCTGCATTTGACCTTCCAGATCAGATGGTTCAATTCAATGCCATGCACATCTGCCCCGTGCTTTCCTTGCATTTTCTTTACCCTTCCATACATGGACTCCTCTCTCGGATGCGGACTTGCTGCGATGTCGATGCCGGCCCGTTACATACATACCTAGGTACCTCTAGTTGTTTCTTCCTGAATTCGCCCGTTGTCATTGCCTTGGCCCGTCAACGGACCACTGGATGAGCCCGAATGACCTGACAGATTCCCAGCACTCCCTAGAGATACCTATGATACTCGTCGGTTAGGTGCACCTGCCAGAGCCATGTGGGGCCTCCCTTTGGTGGCGAAGCGAATCCACCTAACCGACGAGTACATTACATTACATGTACCTACCTTAGCTAGGTCGTGCCTAAGGTGCTTACAGTACCTAGGTACCTTCTGCCTACCCCTCGCTACCGCATAGGATTTCAGGGCGGCAGCGTAAGAGCCCGGAGCACTGTCAATTCGATTCTTCCGGTGCCCTGTCTTTTCTACCTACTTTCTCAAGAGAGCTCCAGGCTGGGGACATTCAGAATCGCCGTCTTGCATAGAAATTCTGCCGTGGTGGGCATAAATGTTGCATTATCTCGCAGACCATGTCTGATTTCCTGGGATCCTAAAACCCAACGCCCCGGAAATACCTAGGTATGCGGCATAGTACTATGTACATGAACCCGCCCCTGGACGGATCACGGACCATATCGCTCACTCAGCCCCAAGAGATCTACCCATCTTACTCAGTCTCAAACTGCATGTAACCCAACGTTTGCTGATGTTTATCGGCGATTGCTCACCGGCATCGTGTGAGGCTTGGTGCAAGTGCCGACACTGGTAAAGCCTCCCTTCTAGATTTCGATCTGGACACGCATGGGGCGCTTTCGCGCTGCTAAGGACTACATTCCTCGAAGGAAGGGGTTGGCGGCCGGGGCTTGGAGGCACGGTACGGATACGCCGACCGACATATATCGATCTTAGAAATGATGTCAGATTTCGGTGACGCCCGACTAAGTTAAACCCGCCCCCACCATGGGTTTTGGCGGGGACGTGGCCGCTGGACCAGTCCAGGTCTGTTCACTAGGTACTTAGCTCACATGAAGACGAACTGGTGGGAGAGGGAAAAAAAGAAAAAAAGTGTCATGGCAAGTGAAAATGAATCATAGTGAACCAAAACGGTTCTACCTTCCGTCGGTAAAGTAGGTAATCACAAGGATCATACAGCCAAGACACAGAAGAGCGAATCAATTTCAAAACCGAATGCGAATGCGAGCGTTTCACTAGACTTATGTGCGATTCCGTCTACACTACAGATTGCTACAAGGGTGAATTTTAGCACACTTACAATCGACCATGTACACTAGATCCGTAGCACAACGTCGAGCGGTTCGAAGCAAACTGACCAGAACGAGCATAAACAAAAGCTGCCAAGATTAGGACCAGAACCACCAAAGAAAAAAAAAAAAAGGGGGGGGGGGGGGGGGGGGGATACATACTACCTTGACTTCAGGCAAAGTTCTTGATATCATCATCAATGGGCATAGGAGTTATGCAGCAACCACCTACGCCGGAACGATGGCAAGAGAAAGCCCTACTACTGACTGCCTACGTGTCGGTGTATGGAGTCCATATCTTTGGATCGAGGCAAATGTAACCGTCGATTTTACATGGGATTCAAGGCAATGATGGAAGAAGGAAGCCCTTTCGCCGACTACTGCCTGCCTCTATGTTGTCCGAGTCTTCGGATGGATACATCATGCTCCCAGGCAGTCAGCCGGCGATTAGGTCATGTTTCACAATCTTCCACTTCCACCACTCGCACAATGACTCAAGATGCCGTGGAAGGAACCCTGGAACATGGTGGTATCCATCCATTGATTCCGGGATGATTTTGCGACCATCAGTTTGGACCAGTGATATGTAGAGAAAACCGAGACCGAACAACCCCGGAGACACTAGTCGACGGGCCCTGGTGTCGTGTCGGAATGATCGTCATTGCCAATCCTGGGTCTCCCCCACCAAAAATGGACCCTCAATTGCGGCCTCTTGGAATAACGCCGCTAAGGCGGGAGGTCGTTCGTTCGGCTGGAATTGTTTCCGTTTGAGGCGTCAAGATTGCACAGGGCATAGATTCAATCGAATCAAGGACGGGGTGTGGTGTATATAGGGCGCGGTCTCCCACTCGGTCTGAACAATAGGTAGTCAGTCATTCTCTCTCGTGCTCTCACCACTGCTCCCATCGAGTATCTGCTACCTTCACCTTACCTACTACACCAACGCCCTTGAAGTGAGATCGAGAGAGCTACCAGGCTCAGCGACAACAGCCATCATGGCCCTCACCCAACTGGCGCACTCGGCGTCAGCAATCCTCCCACTTGTGCTGCCCTCCATTGCAGCCATTCTCGCCTTCGCCATCTTCCAGCGCTACTTCGCGCCGAATCCGCTGTCCAACCTCCCGATCGTCGGCGAAGAGTACCATGGGTACGAGAAAAAGAGGCAGGCGTATCTAACCAAAGCAAAGGATCTTTATCTTGAGGGATATACCAAGGTTTGTCTCACCCTCGAATGTGGATGTACTGGCAAGAGATGAGGTGAATCGGGCAACACAAAGCAACAAATATGGACGCGGGAGAGAAAAGAGAAACAAGGATGCTAACACTGGCGAAAACACACAGTTCAAACATGGCCTCTTCCGCATCGTGACCCCCAACGCTACCAGCGTTATTGTCGTTTCCCCGAGATTCTTGGACGAGCTGAAGAAGTTGCCAGATGATGTGGTGAGCTTTGATGCTGCTAATGATGATGTGAGTTTTCTTCTCTTTTTTTTTTTTCCGCCTCATCCAACATGTGCATCCTTCCGTCTTCCTTCCAGTTCTTCTGCCCCCCACATCGATCTTTTTCTCCTCGCGGTTTGTCCGACAAATGCTAAGCCGCCCTAGAGCATGCACACCAAATACACCTTGATCCCGACCCACGAACCTATTCTCCCGCACACCATCAAGACCTCGCTCACGCCCTCGCTCCCTCGCCTCAACCCACAATTATCCGAAGAGGTGCAGGTCGCCTTCTCCCAGGAAATTGCCCCCCTCATGTCTAGCTCTCCGTCCGACTGGGCCCCCATCAACATCAACTCCAAGCTCCTGCGCATCGTCGCCAAAGTGTCCGGGCGCGTCTTCATCGGCCCCGAGTTATGTCACGATGAGCGCTACCTAGAGGCCGCCGTGGGTTATACCGTCAGCGTGATGGAGGCGCAGAGGGCCGTGGAGAGGATGAATCCCTGGGTCAGGCCCATTGCCGCGTGGCGGTTGAAGGAGGTTCGGAAGTTGGCGCAGATGGAGCGGGATGCCACGGCTTTCTTGAGGCCTGTCGTCGAGGCCCGCAGGGAGAAGCAAAGAAAGGGGGAAGAGAAGGACAACGACATGCTGCAGTGGTTGATGGATTCAGCGGATCAGGGACAAGGGAAGCAACACGGCAAGTGGGGGGAGGACACGACCACAACGAGAAAGTTGGCCAGGTTGCAGCTCGCTATCAGCTTCGCTGCCATCCATACTACCACGTTGGTGACGACGCACGCGGTTTACAGCCTTGCCGCAGACCCCAAGTTGCAAGCCACGCTGCGTGAAGAGATCCAGTCGGTCCTCCAAGAACACAAGGGCGTGTTCAACACCTCGGCCCTGCAGGCCATGAAGAAGACGGATTCCTTCCTCAAGGAGACGATGCGCTTCCACCCTCTGGGACAGACCTCCTTCAGCCGCAAGGTGCTCAGGACCTTTGCTCTCTCCAACGGACAAGTCATCCCCAGGGGATCGACCATCGAAGTCCCCAACTACGCTGTCTCGCGGGATCCCGAAGCGTATCCCAACCCGGATGTGTTTGATCCGTTGAGGTTCTATAACCTCCGAAACGAGGCTAGGGAGAAGGGGGAGGCCGAACAGGCGGCGTCGGGCCAGTTTGTGAGCATCAACAAGGAGTTTTTGACATTCGGGTATGGACGGCATGCCTGCCCCGGCAGGTTCTTTGCGGCGAACGAAATCAAGATGATTTTGGCGAACCTGGTGATGACGTATGAGATGGGACTGGTGGAGGGAGAGACGGAGAGGTATAGGGACTGGGATATTGCGGCGGGGACCATTCCGGATCCGACAAAGGATGTAATGTTTAGAAAGCTGTAGCGGCCCGGGATGGTGTAGCTGTCCGTCCGTTCGTCCCTCGAGTAGAGGTAGGTGAAAGTTTCATACCTAATATTGAGAATTGTTGTAACCTCCCGATAGTCCCTCCTCATTCACCAAAGTGAGCAGCAACATGATGAGCAACCGCCGTGGCATCACCCCGGAAATCGGCACATACCGGGCATACCGATTCCTCTTCCGGTTCAATAGTAGTAGTAGTAGTAGTAGACGGCATAGGATCGGATACGGTAGAAGCCTGACCAGCTCCACCTCTTCTTCCTTTGGTCTTGGCCGGCTTGATATACGCATCCAGACCGAACTGCTGCGCCGGGGGAGGTTGGGGATGTCCGCCACGGTCTGGACGTGAACCGCCACGGTGATGGGGCTGGCGTGATGGAGAGTCAAAGGTGGCATTGAAGGAATCCATGTCGGCGCTTCCACTGTCCGGGTTGCTGTTCATGGATTGCACGCGGCCGACTCGTCCATCAGTGAGGCGGACTTTGATGCCGCGGGGATGGTTTCCTTTGGTGAGCACATCCTGGATGGTGCCGGATACGGTGCGGCCGGTGGGCTGGTCGACTTTGAGTACGATGTTGACTCCGGCACCGGGGATGACTTGTCGCGTTGTTGGTACTGGGGGCATGTTTGGGGTTCGATGTGATGACAGGATGGAAGCAAGCGAAATGCGTTGGTCGTTTGCCCTTTCAGTGATGGCTTCCATTCAGTGATGGTGACGGCGGGGATGCCTGGTGAGGGGGGCGGGGAGGGGCAGTGGTTGAGTGGGGAACTTGGTACAGGACCAGGCGGGGTACTATCTAAGCTTGGCGGTGCACGTGCGTAATCACGTTACTCCTCCCTCCCCTTGTCACTGCCCTTCTTCAAACCTCGGCGAGTGCGACATCCCGCCCCTCCATCGGCCGTCGCAGTCCACCGAACCCCGAAGCACTCCACTCGTCCATTGTTGCAATCAGTTGCTTGAATTCGTGATACCATCTCCATGTCTGCAAACCAAGCCCAGCACGATCCCGAATCCGAACCTGCTAGTGAAACCACCACTCTTCTCCCCACCGATCACCATTCTCTCGATCCAGAAAACACCCCCAAAATGAGCAGCTCCCTCTTCTGGAGAGTCGGTGCCATCTACGGCGCCGCCGCCGTCGGTCTTGGCGCCTTTGGTGCTCACGGGCTCAAGAAGCGCATTTCTGATCCCAACAAGATTGCCAGTTGGTCGACGGCTGCTCACTACCAGGTAGGACAACTTACTTGCTCAAACTCCTTCGTCCCTCATCCGGCATGCTCATGAGACTCACTCAACGTGTAGCTGGTCCACTCGGCCGTCATCCTCGTCGCGAGTCATCACCCCGTCGCTTCCGCCCTCTTCACCGCAGGCATGACCATGTTCAGCGGCAGCATCTATGCTTTGACCCTCGATACCGAGCGCTTCAGGTTCTTGGGTCCTGTGACACCAGTCGGAGGTCTGTTTCTGATTGCGGGCTGGTTGGCGCTGGCTTTTGCGTCCAAGGGGAGTGCCGTCGCTAGGTTCCCTCGTTTCTAGAGGTACCTATCTACCTCAATTGTGGATGGGCAAAAATGATGGATGAGACTCCGCTCAAAAAGCACTAGGAGCATGAGGACCAGCAAAGGTCCGTGTAACATCAAATGTACCTATTTTTCTTGAGAGCAATACCCAACTCGATATTCATGGTTAAGGAGGTGAACACCAGTAGGCTCGGATGCATCGGCGAAAGCATGCAACAGCGTGAAACAGCAAATGTATGAGAATCGGGTGCAGCAGTGGAGGAGGTGGTTGCCAGTTCTGGTCTACCGGAAGCTGCGTTCGTCTACCGGAAAGGGTGGATTGTAGACCGTAATACTCATCGTCACCATTCAGCTGGTTACCTACCTTATTCTCTTCCTCTGCGGGTTCGTTCTTGCCTGGTGAACAGCCTCATTAAGGACGCGGAACATGGCTGCTTCAGTTTTGTCTTCACGTCACCGGCCGTTAACAAACACTTTCCTTGGGTTAGGGTTCGCACCGGCCTTTTCCTCCCCTGCGATTATGTCATCTTGGGGCTGGCCACATTCACAAATGTCTTGACTCCCTTTTGGTTGTCAACAATCCCGTTTGTCGGTGATGAATCACCACAACGGGACCTTATCCCACGATGCCTTCACTCTTTGTGTTACGTGATACGTCTTGTGCAGCATTGATGGCAATCATGGCATCCCATTCACTACCTAGCCTTGCCAATTGTGAATTGTCTAATTGCCTCACCTTTTTGAGCAATGAATCGATCTGCACGCCAGCTCATCAGCGATTATCGACCCCCTCCCCTCATTTCCCCAAATTCCCCTCACTTTGCAACCTGCCTCGAAACATCATCAACGGCACAACATCGACAACATCACACACCCCCATCACGACATCACCAACCAGTCATTGTCCCTGCGCTTACCTTGTCCGAATATCAGATTACGGCGATATGTCTTCGGAAACCCCGATAAAAAATGTCACCCTCGTCGGTGCCTCCGGCAACCTGGGCCGCGTCCTTCTTTCCCACCTCCTCAAAACCAATCTGCACATCACCATTCTCCAACGCGCCTCCTCCAAATCCACCTACCCCTCCCATCCCAACCTCACCATCACCACCGTCCCTTCCTGGTCCGTCCCCGAAGTCACTCTAGCCCTCCGCGATCAACACGCCGTAATTGCCGCCTTCCCCCTCCGCGACCTCCCAGCCCATCTCACCCTCGCCACAGCGGCCTGGGCCTCCGGCACAGTAACCCGTTTCATCCCGGCCGACTACGGCAGCGTAGATGCCCGAAGCAAAAGAGCGCAGGATCTTGTACCCTTGTTCGGCAAGAAGGTGCAGGTTCGCGAGACACTGGAGATGTTGAGCGAGGTCAGCGGAGGCCGTCTAAGCTGGACCAGTCTGGTCAACGGCCACTTTTTCGACTGGGGTCTGACCAACGGATTCCTGCATTTCTATCCGTTCGAACAACCTCCGAGGGCGCATATCCTCGGCTCCGGGAACGAAAAGAGCTCCCAGGCGACGCTGGGGCAGGTGTCAAAGGCCGTGGTGAGTATCTTGACGGGTGACGCTGGACATCTCGAGAAGACGAGGAACAAAGTCCTCATGTTGCAGTCGTTCCTCGTCTCTCAGAATGAGGTTGTGCATGTGCTGGAAAAGGTGACGGGCAACAAGTACGAAAGGCAGTATGTCGATACGGAGGAATATATCAACGAGAGGAAGAGGGTGGCGGATGCAGGGGGGAGGGGGCAGGAGAGGCAATTGAGGATTTGGTCTTTGCGCTGGGGGTGGTGGAAGGGGATTGGACGAACCAGCCGGAGTATGCGATGGGGCTGTTGGGCTTGGAGGAGGAGGATTTGGAGGCGGTGGTCAGGAAGGCGCTGGAGGAGAGTGAGGAGGGGAGGAAGTTGTTGGCTGGGAGCGGAAACTACCTGTAGAGGAAGAGTGAAGTTGGAGATGGTGGTTCCCGTCGATGTATGGACGTGTGTTTGTTTGTGTTTCTCGCAAAAGCTAGAGGTAATGATGCGCCTCGGGAAAGCTGGATCACGAACTGGCGGAAACAGCGGTAATGGGACGGGAAATGAGAAAGAGATCTCGCCATCTCACCGAGCATCCCCAACAACCAGTCGGTCCTAGAGGTACGATTATCGGCCGGGGGTTCATGAAGCAAGAAGCGAGCACCGGGCTCTCGCAAACATCTTACGATCTGGAGGCTCCACAGGGACAAACTGAACCACTGCAGATCGGACAAAGGGGCCTATCCTGCCGTGCCTTCCATTTGTGCTGGCCGGTCGTGTGGGCACATTCATGGCAGGGACGACGTGGTTTGCATAGCCGCTGATCCGCACATCGCATCGTATCTCGAGATATGTATGGGAATTGCACGGGCATGATTGGTACCTTCACATCGGCGAACGGGCCCGACGATTTCCGTGATGCTCGCTTGAAGTTCGGTCAGGGTCCGGTGCCGAATCCAGTCCCTAAAATACCTCGGCCGCCCGCGGGGATCAACGCACAGAACGAGATCGTCTGAAACAAGGGGATCGAGATTCACCAGCGCTACTATCCATGTCGTGATCACGGAGATGACTTACCTCTATGTACTCACTTCCCTTCCCACTTGCCAGTTCGGCAACCCTCGCCGGCAGCTATTCATAGATGCAAGTATTCCAAATTATTTCCTGCTGTCAAGAACGAGTTGGGCCGTTTGAAACAATGGCTATGTCTGTTCATCTTCGTTCCGCTATCCGTCTTCCGGGGCAAGAGGAGGAGGAGGTCCCTTGTTGTGAAGATCTGTGAATGCCAGAAGCCGTGATGAAAGATGCTGACAATCAGGGACCAACAGTCGGGGGATGAACAAGCTTATCGAGAAACTCGATTCTTCAAGGGTACCTAACGCTGCCTAGGCACCCAGAACGGGCACTGAGAAGGGAGGAACGGGTCGGTCGGCAATAGAGAGTCAGCCAGTCGGGAAGCCGGACATATGTATATGGACTGGATTCCTGCAGCACGACGTCAGTCCTAAGGTACTGGGATGGATCGTGGAGCGTGAAGCTTATCGGGATCCACAACAGCCTTGTAAAACTGGACCTCATGGGTCGACAGGTGGAGGACGCTCCGTATGTAGTGTAGAAGCTTCCATGACCCCTGAGCTAAGGCCTCGGCTATCCGTTGCCGACTTGTTCACCTCCTGTTGCAGATACTGCGATGTCGGCACCGAAAGTGGGGAGTGGCGTGGGAAAGATCAAGGGCTTTTGCTTGGTCTGTTATTATCCACCCTTCCAGTGCTTCTTCGTGCTCCAAACACCAACGTCGAGGAAGCCCACTCGTGATTCGCGTTGGCGAGTTCAGTTTCACATTCACGGTCTGTTGCAATCTTTGTTGCAATACTTGCTCATGCTGACGAAAAAGCGGTTCGGCATTGGATTATCTAAGCGCACCCTTCGGGTTGGTGAAAAGGTCAAGGTGTTGCTACATGAGATCACCCCAGTTGGTGTCAATGTTGTGGCCAAGTAGAGGACAAAACTGAAAAATCCGTGTTAGGAAAAACACCGCAAACATCCCATCTCGATATCATCTCGACGGTCCAGGTGGAATGTAACATTCCCTTCTCGACTTCCTGATGCATGAGACAGGCAGGCGGTCAAGGGCAGGAAGTCAAAACAGCGGCTTCTCTTGTCCGGATTTCCGCGGGAATAACTGCCCGCGGAAATGACAAGAGAGCAAGCATCGATCTGATGAGAATAGGACATCGCATTGTCTTTGATTCCGTAACACAAACAGCGAGGTCGGTCGGCTAAGAATATCGGCAGCGGTGACACTACAGGTACCAATAGGTAATTCTTGTCGGATATATCCCCAGGTTTTACTGCCAATTACATATCAGGAAAGACCCTGCAGGCCGGCACTCAGACGCAGCAAGACGACAACAGCGAGCGATGTAATTGGTTAGGATATAGCATGGGGATAAATTCAAATGGAGTTCAACTTTGTCAGTCTGCATGGAAATTCGAGCAACTGCCGTCGAACGCTCCCGAAACCCTTGATGATGATCAATGTGCTACGATTTCTACATCGACCGGACGTATCGGCCAGCCAGGCGGTGTTGGGACGACGATCCACCCCATCGATAACGCTACCTAGAGCAGTCGTCGCTGTCCATGTCCACTACCGCTTTTCTTGAATTCACACTAGATTTGAGCTATCTCCACAGTATAGGACCAATTACATCTAGAGAATGATCTGAAGACGACGCCAAAACGTGACGAGCAGATTTGATGATTGGTCAGGTCGGCAAGGGGATAAATCCGGTTCGATACGGTCTGCTACCTAGAGGTGCCTACCTAGGTAGAGGTATAGAGGCCAGCAATTTTCAAATTCTGACTTTAGAAAAGAAGCATCCTTCTAGGTACAGGTACCTATTAATCTGGCTTCGAGGTTTTGCAAGTTGTCGCGTGCTGGCAGCTGTAGAATGGGGAAACGACTCGGGCACATTTGAAGGTGTTTTTGGTGTGTAGAGGTAGGTACCTCTAGGTATAAAAGAGGACAGGTCGAAGCAGGGGTGTCTACTGTATCTGCTACACTACGAACATCAACCCCTGAAAATGTGCCGCAAGTCCCGGCACCAACAAGGTGACAGGGCCATGACCGGCGGTCCGCTCCCGATCAGAAAGCTTGTTTCGTCGTGGGTCTTCCACCGCAACAACACTTTTCAAGTTGGACGAGCAGGATAGGAAGCATCTCATGACCTTGAATGACTGGCACCCCGCCACTCCATGTCTTTGGCACTTCTAGCAGCCAGGTGCCGGAACAAAAACCCGGGCTACCAGTTCCCACCCGTTTTGGACGGAAGTCGGTAGGTACACTGGTCCGCGTTTGTTTCAGCACCTGGCAGTCCACAAGTCATTGGCGTGCGTGTAGGGTACCTAGACTGCCAAGGTACAATGAAGAGGAATGGAGGTGTGTGCTCATGGCGGCTCCATCTAACGTCCATGACCGACATTACTGCCCAGTCTTCATGGGATCCCCATGCTCCAGATGCTCTGTGCTTTGCTGTGGACAACTGGCTGTGGCGGTGGATGCTTGTCTTGTCTGTCTTCTGGTTATACTATGGCCTTGTCTCGCGTCGCGAGGATCCCCGGGCACACCGGAAGGAAAAAAGACTCGAGAGGGTGTAATGGAGGTAGTGGAAGGCAGAAGGGGGGAGGCGGAGGAAAAAGAAGCACATATCTGTGATATATATTCCGTCCTCTCCCACCGACTGAGACCGAACTTTTGTGAAATCATCATCACATCACCATCCATTAATCATTTCTGACGGAGGAAGCCTTCCCTCACGCTCAGCCATACCCATCAACTTGGACAACTTACCTTGACCGTCCGAACTAATAGATCTGATATTGAGACGACAGCTTATCATCTCATAATATCGGCTATATCCGGCATTTCGACTTCTTCCATCCTTCTTCGGTATTACAACACCCTTCACCTAATACACACATCACCATGAGCCAACAACAAAATCCCCCTTACGGCCGCCGCCTTATCCTCGACATTATCAAGGAGCGTGCCCACAACGAGCCCAACCGGGAATGGGTGTCTGTACCTCGTTCGTCCGACCCCAAAGATGGGTGGAAGATCCTCACTTACCTTGACGCCTACAACGGCATCAACCGCATCGCGCACAAGCTCACACGGGTCTGCGGTGCTGCCGCGCCCGGCTCTTTCCCGACCGTTGCGTATATCGGCCCCAACGACGTTCGCTACCTAGTCTTCGCCCTAGGCGCCGTCAAGGCCGGCTATCAGGCTCTCTTCATCTCCACTCGCAACTCCGCCGAGGCCCAGGTGAACCTGTTTGAGCTGACGAACTGCAACGTCCTGGTGTTTGATCAGAGCTACAAGGCTACCGTCCAGCCATGGCTACACGAGCGCGAGATGACTGCGATTCTGGCGCTTCCCGCTGACGAGTGGTTCCCGGCCGACCAGGAGGACTTTCCGTACAACAAGACCTTTGAGGAGGCTGAGTGGGATCCCCTGATGGTGCTGCACACTTCTGGAAGCACTGGCTTCCCCAAGCCCATCGTGGCCAGGCAGGGTATGCTGGCTGTAGCGGACCAGTTTCACAATCTTCCGCCGCGCGAGGACGGCAAGCTCATGTGGATCGTGGAGATGAGCAAGCGGGCGAAGAGGCTTATGCATCCTAGTGAGTGTTCCCCCCCGAAAAAAAACCATGATGGTCGATCAGGGTCCGAAGCTAACAAATGACGACAACCAGTGCCTCTTTTCCACGCGGCTGCCATGTACATCTCCATGCTCATGATCCACTATTGGGACACCCCTGCTGCTTTGGGCATCGGCGAGCGTCCACTGTCTTCCGACCTGGTTCTTGACTACATCGAGTACGCTGACGTTGAGGGCATGGTCTTGCCGCCGGCAATCCTCGAGGAGCTCTCCCAGGACGAGAAAGCTATCCAGTCCCTCCAGAAGCTCAACTTTGTGTCCTTTGGCGGCGGCAACCTCGCTCCCGAGGCCGGTGACCGCCTGGTCGAGAACAACGTGACGCTCTGCAACCTCATCTCGGCGACCGAGTTCACTCCCTTCCCCTTCTACTGGCAATATGACCAGAAGCTCTGGCGCTACTTCAACTTTGACACGGAGCTCTTCGGCATTGACTGGCGCCTCCATGACGGCGAGTCAACTTATGAACAGGTAATCGTCCGCAAGGACAAGCACCCCGGTCTCCAGGGCTTCTTCTACACGTTCCCCGACTCCAGCGAGTACAGCACCAAGGACTTGTACAAGCGCCACCCTACCCACGAGGACTTTTGGATCTACCAGGGCCGCGCCGACAACATCATTGTGTTCTCCAACGGCGAGAAACTCAACCCCATAACCATCGAGGAGACGCTGCAAGGCCACCCCAAGGTCATGGGCGCCGTGGTCGTGGGCACGAACCGGTTCCAGCCTGCTCTGATTATCGAGCCCGTGGAGCACCCCGAGACCGAGGAGGGCCGCAAGGCTTTGTTGGATGAGATCTGGCCCACCGTCGTCCGCGTCAACAAGGAGACGGTCGCCCACGGCCAGATCGGCCGCCAGTACATGGCTCTCTCGACCCCCGGCAAGCCGTTCCTGCGCGCGGGTAAGGGCACCGTCCTGCGCCCTGGTACCATCAACATGTACAAGGCCGAGATCGACAAGATCTACGAGGATGCCGAGAAGGGCGTTGCCACTGACGAGGTCCCCAAGCTGGATCTTTCCTCGTCCGACGCCTTGATCGTCTCTATCGAGAAGCTCTTTGAGACGTCCCTCAACGCTCCCAAGCTCGAGGCCGACACCGACTTCTTCACGGCCGGTGTCGACTCGATGCAAGTCATCACCGCGTCTCGCCTCATCCGTGCTGGCCTGGCCGCTGCCGGCGTGCACATTGAAGCCTCGGCGCTGGCCACCCGTGTCATTTACGGCAACCCCACTCCCAAGCGCCTGGCCGACTACCTCTTGTCGATCGTCAACAAGGACAGCAACCAGGGCACTTTGGACAACGAGCACCACGTCATGGAGGCCCTTGTAGAGAAGTACACGCGGGACCTTCCCACCCCCAAGCAGAACAAGCCTGCGCCGGCCGACGAGGGTCAGGTGGTGGTCATTACCGGCACCACGGGCGGCATCGGCTCCTACCTGATCGACATCTGCTCTTCCTCCCCGCGCGTGTCCAAGATCATCTGCCTCAACCGTTCCGAGGACGGCAAGGCGCGCCAGACGGCTTCCTCGTCGGGCCGTGGCCTGTCGACCGACTTCTCCAAGTGCGAGTTCTACCACGCCGACATGTCGCGCGCTGATCTCGGTCTCGGCCCCGAGGTCTACTCGCGCTTGTTGAGCGAAGTCGACCGCGTGATCCACAACCAGTGGCCTGTCAACTTTAACATTGCTGTCGAGTCCTTTGAGCCTCACATCCGCGGCTGCCGCAACCTCGTGGACTTTTCGTACAAGGCTGACAAGAACGTGCCCATCGTTTTTGTGTCTTCGATCGGTACCGTCGACCGGTGGCACGACGAGGACCGCATCGTGCCCGAGGCGTCGCTCGACGACCTGTCCCTCGCGGCGGGCGGTTACGGCCAGTCCAAGCTCGTTTCCTCTCTGATCTTGGACAAGGCCGCCGAGGTGTCTGGGGTGCCGACCGAAGTCGTTCGTGTCGGCCAGGTCGCCGGCCCGTCTTCCGAGAAGGGATACTGGAACAAGCAGGAGTGGCTGCCGTCCATCGTGGCCTCGTCCGCCTACCTCGGTGTCCTCCCGGACTCTTTGGGACAGATGACCACGATCGACTGGACGCCCATCGAGGCCATTGCCAAGCTTTTGCTCGAAGTGTCGGGCGTCATCGATAACGTCCCTCTCGACAAGATCAACGGCTACTTCCACGGTGTCAACCCCGAGCGCACCAGCTGGTCTGCGCTCGCGCCGGCCGTCCAGGAGTACTACGGCGACAGGATCCAGAAGATTGTGCCGCTGGACGAGTGGCTCGAGGCGCTGGAGAAGAGCCAGGAGAAGGCCGAGGACGTGACGCGCAACCCGGGCATCAAGCTCATTGACACGTACAGGACCTGGTCGGAGGGGTACAAGAAGGGAACCAAGTTTGTGCCGCTCGACATGACGAGGACGAAGGAGTACTCCAAGACGATGAGGGAGATGCACGCCGTGACTCGGGAGTTGATGAAGAACTGGTGCAGGCAGTGGAACTTTTGAGCGGAGAGGACCGACTTGGTGAGAGGTGTAGGTAGAGGTACTCAGCTTTGTTGGGGGTTGTTTTTGGGTGGTTAGCGGGTTGCATTGTCCAGCGAGGGTTCCTTGAGTGCATTCATGGGTTGGAGCCGATATACTTGGGTTCGAATGGTGTTGTTGCATTTTCATTGGGTTTGCATAGGTAGTGTAGAGGTGTAGGTTTGGGTGTCATTTCGAGTGTATTTTTGTTTAGCATACAGCAATGGTTGACCAGATTTGTCCGTCGATTGTAACTGCCCTGCCGATGTCCCGTGTTTGTTTTTGTGGTGAGGTGATTCTGGTGGTGGTGTGGAAATGGAAAAGAAGAATCTCTGCTGTCCACTTGCGGGGGGTTGCTACTCGTCAGGGCTAGAAACGCCCAGTCAGCAAAGCTTGGGGTCCCGGAGGCGTTTCTAGCCCAGACGAGTACAGCGCCTTGTCCACTGTAATCAAACAATTCCCCGCCAAACAACCCAACACAACTTATCCCTCCCGTCAACATCACTTCCCTCCACACTTTTTCTATCATTTCCATCTCTCTGTCTTCCTCCTCTCCACTCGACCTCCTTCGACAGCTTTCCGAATCGAACACAATATCTCTCGAAATCACACCTCCTTCTCACGCTCCTCGACAATCTCGACCGTCGCTGCCTTGCCGCCGTCCTCCCCGACCTCACCCCTCCGTCTTCGAACCTCCTCGATGGCGTCGCTGACAATCGACGTCTCTGCCGACTTGAACTTCCACGCCGGAACTCTTCGCTCAAACAACTCGTCAATCTCTTCCAGCGCCCGACCCTTCAGCTCCGGGAGACAGCAAAAGAAGAACAAGGCACTGCACGCCATCAGACTACCCCTCGCCCTCCTCGTCCCCGCCTCCGTCGTCGTCGCCGAGATGGCCATGCCCAACATGAACATGCCCTGCACCATCGCTCCCGTCGTCATCAGCATCCGCCGACCGGTGACAAAGCGCATCAAGTACATGCCGACATTGACCCATACACGTCTTCATGATGTTGTACCTGAAAGACAGGTCCACCGGCAGTCCCGACACAATCATGAAATATGTCGAGTAGCTGATATAGAACCAACTGCCGCTACCAGCCTGGGTTGCAATCACCCCAAAACACAACAGCGTTCGGCGCAAATCACTACCGCGGAACATGTCCAACGGCCCAACCGTACTCGCCAGCCTCTTCTCCTCTTCGATCCCTTTGACCATCTCCACCCACTCCACCTCCAACCTTTGCTGCCCTTCTTTGTCGTCCTCTCTTACGGCCCTCACGCGCTCCAACGCCATCCTTCCCTCCTGGTGCCGTCCTCGACTAACCTCCCACCTCGGACTCTCCGGCACCACCCACCACACACCGGCCGACAACATCACAGGAACAACAAACAGCATGCCCAACGGAACCCTCCAACTGGCCTTTCCCAGCCACCCCTTAGTCGCATTCGTCACCGCCGCGCCCAGCACACTTCCCACGCAGACCCATTCCGGAAAAAGCGCAACCATGACAGCTCTCAGATGAGGCGGCGCTACTTCCGCGCAAGAATGTTGGAAAACGTCACGAGGAACTCGTTTTCGATACCGAGGATCATTCGACCCACATACAAAGCCGCCGCTGAAGAGGCGCCAATTTGGATAGCGGTACCGAAGGCAGTGAGGAAACACGCGAAGAGGAGCGCAGGACGACGCCCGTAGAGGTGGGAGAAGGGACCGGCGAAATGTGTGGAGAGAAGAGAGCCAAGGGTCAAGAAGGAGAAAAGGAGTTGTTGGAAGGTGTGCTTGTTGCCTTGTCAGTGGAAGAGTCCCCAAAGAGGGAGCCAGACAGAGGGATGAAGCGGTGAGAAAACTTACGCCAATCCCAAAGCTACCTGGAGCGCTTGGGTCGGGGTATCCAAACACTTTGAGAAAGCCGGGCATCGCTTAGAAGGCGGCGAGGCAAGCGCTGTCGAGGCCGTATTGCATGCTGGCAAGGGAGACGAGGGCGCAGATGAGGAGACATTTGCTGTTGGTCCAGAGCGAGGTTTCGGGGAGTCTTTCGACGCTAAGGGATGGTGAGCCCGCTATCTCTTTGTCTTTTTCCTTGGTGCCCATGTTGCGCTTCGGTTGTTGGGTTTTTTTTTTGATCAAGTGATGGAAGTGGGCAGCATCCCCAGTTCAAGCGGATGCCGTTCTCCCAGTCAAGTGGTTGAGGAGAGGATGGGTATCCAGCAAACAATGGTTACCGAAGAAGCAAGTGCTTCGTTGCAACATAAGTACTAGGTGAACATCAACAGCCATGAAAGGGTTTCATTTCCCAATTCCTGCCTCTTCCACGGTTCTGCAAGTTGGGAGTGAGGGGTCAACGTCGCCTTGAGTGGCCGTCACATTTATCTCCGCGTTGCTTTTCGATACAAGATCGCCAATGCCAGCTTATCATTGGAAAGGCAGCTTTTTTACGTGAACCTATGTTCAGGTAGATGCCTGATATTGACCCCAAGACCTGGTTCATCACTACACATCCAACATTGCCCTTCATCCCCGCCAATCGGTTCGCAGGACCTCAAAACGACAAGCATAGAACGCAACCATGTCATGCTGGGAGCCTGGGAGAACGGCACAGCTAGTACACACAAAACGGAGAGCCCCGCATCTCGGCAGTTGATGCTTTCTCCGGTTGAATCGTTGGATCGCATATGTTGGAAGGGGACGGCCCGTGGCGATTGAACTTCACCCGATACCAGACACAAATCTTCACTGCCTGACCAGCAGTCAGTCGTGATCTTTCGCTGCTGTTAGAAACTGTCTCCAGAGAGAAAAGAAGAACGTACGTTGCCGTCAAAGGGTTAGTTGCCATCGAGAGAAACCGTAAATCTGTTCTTGAAATCACGGTGCCAGGATCAGCACATCTCTCTCGGCTTTTGATAACTGAGCGCATTCGATCTTTGCTTTCTTTCTTTTTCTCTCTCTTCCTTACAACCAGCTTCTGGAAAGGGACTGACTGCTCCCGCATTCACTCTTGGAATCCGACACATTTTTCTCCTCATTCCGAACTTCTCTTCACATGACGTCGTCTTTCCATGTTTGAGGATTCTGGCGATCTGATGTCAACGACATGGATCGCCCGTCATTGCGGGGGACATACATGAGCTGCAAGCCACGATTGTATGCAAGAATCGATGCATCTCGGAAACAGCAGGCCAGGTTCAACTTCCATCAACTCGTCCCATTCGGCAGCGGGTGCACCCGTCTGACTGCACAGCTGATGTGCAGGTGTATCGCCTCCTTAGAGATCAGAACATCTTTGCATTTTCTAGTAATTAACTTGCCAAGTTTTGCAATATTCACATGAATCAGCTGATTGAATACTCACCCTGTCATCCAGAAATCTCCAAGAGGGCCCTTTAACTTTCGAAAAACTTCAAGTAATGGACACTGCATACCAAGTCCACCTCACACCTCTATCTTAGGCAATGTCCAACGTGAGCCACAAAGCCGACACTGACAAGGCTATGCCGCATTCTCGGAGCTGGCTGAGTTGGGGCGAATAGGTTGATTCTGCGGGTGGGCGATACACATTGTCGACCCACGGAAGCGTGAGGTCGAGGAAGAGCCTCTGGCAGAAGACAGAGGCAAGCAGGAGAGGCTTTGAAGTCAGGAGACAGGCCACGGCAATCGCAACAGTATAGCACACCATGTTCAGCTCCATTAAACTCCTCGAACCAAAGGCAAAGGGTCGAAAGCAAGCAACTGCAGCACAGCCTACTAGGGTCTGCGAGAGTCGTGAGATTGCGTATTTCGAGACGCTTCAGGGACAGAGCGAGTCAGTGATTTGGGAAGATGTTGAACTCTCTAAGCTTTACAAGGTCATGAGGTCACCATCATCGAAACATCTATTTAGCTGCGTCACAACTCACTTCTCAGTCGATCATTTTCCCTCCTCATCCCTCAGCACACCGCTTCTGTTCTTTCGACAATCTACGCAACCAGAAGAACACTAACTCTCGCTTGAACTCCACGTACCTTACCATCTTCATATCCACAACACAACCCAACATTGAGGGCATCTTTCACGACCAACTGAAGTCATCATGAAGTCCATCACCCTCTCCCTCCTCCTTGCCGCCGCCGGCTCCATTGAGGCCATCACCGTCACCGTCCCCTCCGGTGTCACCCTCCCCACCGGCGTCACCTTGCCCACCGGCGTCACCGTCGTGACCGCCACCCCAGCCGCCACCGCCAACGGCAAGCGCTTCTTGTACGCCCTCGGCCGCGACAAGCGCCAGATCGCCGGTCTGTCACTTCTGACACAGAACGCGGCCGCTACGACCGCTGCCGCCGGCCAGGGTGCGAACAACAACGTCGCTGACGATGGCGATGACACCAAGGCTGATGCCGACGATGATTCCCAGAAGGATGATGATTCTAAGAAGGACGATGATTCGAAGGATGATGATTCCAAGAAGGATGATGATTCCAAGGATGATGATGATTCGAAGAAAGATGATGAATCGAAGAAGGATGATGAATCGAAGAAGGATGATGATTCCCAGAAGAAGGAGAACGATTCTCACCAGAAGAATGATTCTCACCAGAACGAGGATGATTCTCACCAGGAGGAGGACGATTCTCACCAGAAGGAGGATGACTCTCACCAACAGAAGGATGATACTCACCAGAACGAGTATGACTCTCACCAACAGAAGGATGATTCTCACCAGAACGAGGATGATTCTCACCAGGAGGAGGATGGTTCCCACCAGAAGGAGGATGGTTCCCACCAGAAGGAGGATGGTTCCCACCAGAAGGAGGATGATTCTCACCAGAATGAGGATGATTCCCAGAAGAATGACGCTGGAAAGGGTGATGCGAAGGAGAAGAAGTTCAGGTTTAAGCGGGAGTAAGTGGGCATGTACTCAATTGTACTGTGGGTTCTCAGTCGTCTAGATGGATCTGAAGAATGGCTGAAGTGACAACGGGGAGGAGCTGGTTCATGTCACTGGTATCTGGAGTGGTTTGATTGACATCGGATTGTTTAGAAAGAAACAGATTGGATGAGATTCTCTTCTCTTTGAAGCTGTCATTGGGCGAGCTTCTTTGTACAACCTTGTTTTGCTTTTGGATTTTCATGGTGGTAGATGGACATCTGGGCGGACGCAAGACGGACTGAGGCAAAGGAAGAGGGTCCGACTCAAAGTACGAAAAGACGATACGTGCACATCTAGAGGGGGATGGATGCACTGGAGGTTGGGTTTGGATGTTGAATATACCAGTCACAGGAGTAATCAACAATTTGTTTACATTTGTTTCCTCCTCGATTTCGGTTTGTTGCTTTTTGTTTGAGCCCGCACGATGGGATAACGGAGAGAAATAGCCTGGACTTTACCGCTCTTCCTCGGTCCCCACTTACCGAAACATCGTGTCGAATCCTCACTAACCTCGCTTGTAGGTCGCTAACGGCATCACCGTTTTCGCTAATTCTTCTCTTTTCGTCCACGGGAGCTAGCGTTCCTCGGAACCTAGCGGTTTTAGTAACCTCCGTGCCAAGATCACACCGTTACATCGCAATGTCTCCTGCAATTTAGCCCCACATGGAAGCTGGAGTGGAAGTGAAACACAGCCTGGGAAGAAGGAGTACGGCTCATGCCGAACATCGAAAGCGTTCCCCAAAAAGGAAACAGGCTCATGTTTGGTTCACCGACGGCCAAGTGTGTTTCATGATTCAACGAGCAGTGAAACTCCAAGCGCACAGGTAAGTGAATCCGTATCCGGGTCCCCGGTAGAGTCTCGACGGGTACCCTTGACTGATTCACGCATGGGACCAGTGGCCCTATCGGCCTTCCCTCGGTTGGCTTTTCCGATTGACATCTACATGGACCGGGCTTCTATGACGCGACTCACAAAATGGGCCAGGAAGCCGAGGTTTGCAAATGATATGGGAGTCGAGAGCCGCCAGGGGCCAATGCTTCACAGCATGAAGCGCTCCACTAGAAAAGCTACCTTAGGAAACTCCTGGTTTTCTCAACTAACAACCGTAACATCGGTCCATTCGCTATCGTTCCATGGGCCTGGCGCTAGATCCTGGGACTGGGCTAGATGCTACTTCGCCCTGGCTCGATGTAGATGCTGACCACAAGGTCCCCAGCATGGAAGGATGGAAGACGGCGAGATCTTGCCGGGACATGGAACCATCAAACCGAATTCAGGATTGAGGACAGGAGGTGACTGGCATGGATGATCTGGGGGTGCATTACCTCACAAGGTCACGGCGCCTAGGATAGAACGAGTATAAGACCCATCGACACTTCCCTTTCCCGATCTCTCAAGTTTTCTATCCCCATCAACAGCTTCTTCTTCCGTTCAGTCACTCATTACATCCAAGTCACTCTTTACCTCTACAAGTCATCAACATGCATCTCCCCACCGTTCTTTCTGTCATCTTCGCTGCGGCCGGCGTTACCGCCCAGCTCAACGATCTCGCCGTCGCTGCCGGTCTTAAGTACTTCGGTACTGCTGGCCAGGAAGGCACCATCACCTCGGATACCACATACCGTAACATTATCAACAACGTGCACGAGTTCGGCCAGCTCACTCCCGAGAACGGCATGAAGTGGGATGCCACCGAGGGCCAACCCGGAAAGTTCACCTTCCAATCGGGAGATATTGTTGCTGGAGTGGCCAAGAGCAACGGACAGCTCTTGAGATGCCACACGCTGGTTTGGTACAGCCAGCTGCCTTCGTGGGGTGAGTACCTCGACCTTTTGTCGATGAGGTCGATCTTGGGAAGGAACGGTGCAGTGTACTGACAGGGAATATACAGTCTCCAACGGCTCCTGGAACCGTGCCACCCTTCAGTCCGTCATCGAGTCGCACATCAGCAATGTCATGGGCCACTACAAGGGCCAGTGCTACGCCTGGGATGTTGTGAACGAGGCCATCTCCGATGATGCTCAAGGCAACTACCGCGATTCGATCTTCTTCAAGACCTTCAAGACGGATTACTTCCCCATTGCCTTCAAAGCTGCGAAGAAGGCTGATCCCAACGCCAAGCTGTGAGTCTGCTCATCGCATCAGCCACACCAACATGGTCGTACCCAAACTAACACCTCCCAGCTACTACAACGACTACAACCTCGAGTACAACGGCGCCAAGACCGAAAGGGCCCTTGAGCTCGTCAAGCTCATCAAGGCTGCCGGCGCCCCCATTGATGGTGTCGGTTTCCAGGCCCATATGACTGTCGGCGGCACGCCCTCGCGCACTGCCATGGCCAACCTCCTCAAGCGCTTCACCGCTCTCGGTGTTGAGGTTGCCTACACCGAGCTCGACATTGCGCACAAGAACCAGCCCTCCTCCTCCTCCGTCCAGGCCCAACAGGCTACCGACTATGCCAACATGGTTGGCTCCTGCGTGGACGTCGACGGCTGCGTCGGTGTCACCATCTGGGGCTTCATCGACAAGTACAACTGGATCCAGAACGGTAATGCTGCGATCTTTGATAGCAACTTCAACAAGAAGCCCGCCTATTCCGCTATTAGCTCCGTCTTGGCCGCTGCGGCGACGAAAGCCCCTTCTCCTGCCAAGAACGCCAACGCCCCTCCTGCTGTGCACACGACCCTCAGGACCGCGATTGCGACCGCCCCTGCCTGTGAGGCGACCGCCCCTGCCCCCAAGGCCACGGCGGCGCCTGCTGCCCAGCCGGCCAAGCCGGCCACCGGTTCCTCTACTGGCGCGCAGCAGCCGCGTTGGGCGCAGTGCGGTGGTAACGGATACACGGGCCCCACTGCTTGCCAGGCCCCGTATACTTGCAAGGTTCAGAACCCTTGGTATAGCCAGTGCTTGTAAGCTTTTCGAGAGAAGTTCTTGTTGAAGCCGTGAGGCTGAGACCGAACTCACGAAGAGTGACGATGGATGCCAGTAGAGGAGAACATGAGCGTTCTTGTATATAGTTGTTTCGGTGGTGGTTTGACGAACGCGATAGGCGCAGAGAGTGACGTTGTACATACAATTTTTAGAACATGAATTACATTTACCTATAGACTACACCTTCGGTCAGTTTCAGTACCTAGAGGTACCCATCCTGTGCTTGAACTTTTCACTCAACTTCAATTCTCTACCTCCTCAACACCTCTACAGTGGAACCGATAGAAGCTGCCTAGGTACTGCTACTTCTAGGGACGTTAAGATTGACTCTCGGGAGGGGATAGAGAAACAGAGGAAGGAATCGACAATAACTGCAGCTGGTCAGCTGAAGGGAAAGAAGGAAAAAGGCATGGCTAAACCCGGTATCTGAGGATACCTCCCAGCTTGGCCCAGAAATGGAAGCTCTTGGGAAGCAGAGGTAGACTGGAAGCATACTTTAGGTCAGAAATAATACACCTCTTCAAGGCAGAAGATCAACCTATGACTCACTCGACTACGCTCAAGAAGTGAGTTTTGCTACTTTCTCTGTACGCAGTTTCAAGGCTAGAGGTAAGTACCTCTAAGTAGGTAACCTGCTTAGGTACCTGGTATTTGTAGAGGTAAGGGTCATATACTTGAGATTTCATGCAAAACCTGGGAAGGAGGTTTTTTATCCTATTATTGAGGGTCTTATTTTTTTTTTTTCTTCTCAGGACTTGAAGTTCATGCCAAAGTCCCTCAACGCTGGGTCTTTGGAGATTGAGCCTGTTGTTGGCCAAAAGCCAGCCCTAAATCGACACCAATGGAGAAAATGGCAATAGCGCGCCGAAGTAGATGCCCCCTCTATCGAAATTGTCTGTGAACTGGAATGTAGATATCAAGGCTTTCGTCTGACTCTTGGCTGAGTCCAGATTTACCGTGTGTACCAGGAAAGCTTTCAGTTTCTTTGTCCGGGTGGATGATGTTTGTCGGCTGTCAGCTTCTGAAAGTACATGTTTATGCAAGAGAAAAGAATTTCGCAAACTTGGCCGCTCCTGCCAAAAGGTACCTACCTACCTAGGTAAGACCAGAAAGTGCGAGGATCAAATGAAGGTTGGAAGGAGGCGCAAGCGATAGGACTGGAGGGCGCGGGGGGCGCTCCTACCTACTTCGGGTCAGCATCATCACGACGAAAGACATCAACGTCCAGATCTGAAGTGAGTGTGACGAGGCAGCAACATGGTACCCTCACCATAGGTGGAAGTCTTCAGATTTCGTACATCTTGTGTGATTCGCGTAATCGGTCCATTGCAAACCTAACACTCGATCATCACTGGGACAAGACGCAATACTACATACCCAGAAATTGTGAACTGTACAGGGCCAAGGACGCACGGTACACGTGATCAGAGCTACGTCGATACCTCTAGTTCCGGAGAACTCTTGTCATTTATTCGGCCGGTTGTAGGGCCCGGGCCGCTGACTGCAGGCCGCCCGCAGAAGCCCCGCTCAATTCCGGTCCCCACTGCATATGTGCTCCACATTTCCGTTGGCAATGTCTCCTCTTGTTCTATCCTCCAGAACTCTCCTTGATAGGGCTCCTAACAACTGAGATGCAGTGGCAGCTAAGCGCAGAAACGATTGAAATATGATCAATCATCGACAGCCACGGTTTTTGCGGAGAAGTGACATAAGACCGGCGTTTAGATCACTCCCTGTAGAGGTACCTT